AAATGCGTACCTAGCGAAACCAATGAAGCCTGTGAATGAGCGATCTGGTTCCGAGTACACGAAAATGAATAAATAGAGAATCCGTGAATGAGAAAGCTCAAGTGGAGAGACGATAAGTGAAAGACGAGACAAGGAAACGGATATGGAACAGTAAAAGATCCGCTGGCAAATGCCGAGCATCCAATCTGAAAATACACTTGGGAAATAGAACAAGAAGTGCAACGACGATGCGTCAGTGGGCGTCTATTTCGGTTGCCGATACTACTCGGCAAACTGAGACGGTTGCTGATCTATTTATGAGTTACGAGAAAAAACGGGATAGCAATAAAACAATACGAAAACTTATAGACTCGTAGTTTGAGAGCTTCCCCGTCAGTCATTGACTTTCCTTTCGGTAATTCGAAAAATTCAATCCAATTTTCATCCCACGTCCGACCAATCATCCAATTACTAACCTCTTATTATTTCAATGATATCATTGTTCCTGTGTTCCCCGAAAAATGTCAGTCAGCTGCAACGAATTCTTTTTTCCTCGTTCTTTTCTCCTAATTCTTACGTGTACCGTTCTTTTTTTTTTTACGCTTGTTTACATCCGTGACAGCCCTGTGTATAAATGAATGGGGAATTTCGATCGATACAAACAATAGGCGATATCGTTCGACGATACCGATGCGACTCGGGGCGGGAGGACACTTTGGAAACAGGTGACAGGTGGCACGTGGAACGTGGGACGTAGCACGTGGAACGTGGCACGCGACCGTCTTGGATACCGGAGATGCGAGAGACTGTGGACGGATAGCGACAAAAATAGGTCTCCATCACTAAGCGGAAGTGAGACGCGGTAGAATTGGACGAGGAACATTCTGGGGTTGGATAGGTTCGAGACTAGTTCAATATAATTCCGCGAGATGTCTCGTCACTTGGAAGTCGTGCGGTTAACGATGCTTCCTTGGCAATATATTATTCTTATGCAGCATTATGCTCGAGGTGCGTGTATTATTTTCGTATCAAACGCCGCCAAGTGTGAGAGCATTCTGACCTCCGTAACGAGAGTGCGAAACGGTCATGAGAGACGATCTTTTTTTTTTTCCTCGAATCAACTAGACGTGTAACAGTCTACAATTCTGAAATCTGGTTTTAGTAAGCCTCGAGGATTCGTATTTTTGAAATTTTCATTCGCGTCTACACAGTGTTAAGAAATCGCGATATTCCGAATAATGACGTAGGTAAACACAGAGTATAACGAGGATCAACATATCGAAGAAAGTGTGACGATAATCGAACGAGTCATTGAACTCAAAAATATCTCGGCGCGTAAAGTATCGAGAGAACAAAAAAAAAGACGCCTTTCTATTTTTCGAGCCACAAAATTATCAACTCGCACGAGGCGAACGAGACGACAGTCAAGCCTCTTTGAAATCCAGCACAGCGGAGCAAAACACACCTGTCACGTGTTGTATACTACATATAACGACATAGCACAACATGAACGTACGTACTACTTCGATTTCACTAAAGTGACTCACGCACGCACATACGGTCTTCGTGATTCAGTCAAGATCCCCCGAATTCGGTCAGGGGCGACGCTGTGCGACACGAATGACAATTTAAAAAAAAAAAAAAAGTAACTGACATCCTACACAAGAAAGGCGAGAGAGGTGAATATAAAGGGGCAGAAAATTCAGAATGACAGTTAAACATTTCCCATTTAAATTCAATCTTCCTCCGACGGCTACGTGAAGTTGATTAATTATAATACCAAAGGAAGAACTTGGAAGCGGGTTTGCCGTGAATTTATGGAGCTAGGTCAATAACAAAGTCCTGACAACTTTCTCGGCGTCCCGACGGCTCTCGGGCTGCTAGCGACGCTAAAGGAGAGAAAGAGAGAAGGTTGTCAGAAATCAGAGTATACAACTGCCCTATAGAACTTACTGCAATCGTGGTGATCGTTATCTTAGAAATTTTCATCAACGTCCTGGAAATTTAATTATAATCGTTAAAAACGAGTCTTACCGCGTGACGAATATCAGAAACGGCTAACCGATGGTAAATTTCTTCAAACTTCCAAATATATAATAGCCCTATAATCGTATAAGCGGTATGGAAACGACACCTTGCTGATATAGCAAAAATATCGACAAGTCCATCGACATCAGGCAGGTTTCGTGCACGGAATCACGGTTCCTCCTTGCTACTGCGTCATCGTTAAATTCGCCTACGGATTTCGCGTTTTACGGCACAACGAGATATTCGAGCTTCGACTGCTTTTACTCGCCAACCACATAAGCCACGCGTACGTCTACCGTAGGCTATAGTACTGTAATGAGTATATTTCGAAGTAGCAACGCCATCTAGCGGCTAGCAGTCTATGCTCTCCTGTCCCTTCGAACGTGAAAGTGTGAGACGACCCTGGCGATCAGGTCACGCTTGACAGACCGCCGGTCGCATCGCTAACGGTCGATTTCGCGACCCGTACGATCGGCTATAAGGTTAACTGCGACCTTTGTTATCCCGAGATTCGAAAAGAGATTTTGGAAACGACGTGATCACTTAGGTATCGCGAGGAGCGATGGACTTTGCGACGTCGTGGGGTCACGGACCATTCGCCATTTACGATAAGGTACTACGAGAGACCTAACCTACAATCCGGATAGCTTGCACGTCGATTCGATATTTATCTGTGAAAAGTGTTACGAGCGAACTTATTATCTTCGAGCCATTTGGCTCTGATGTCAAGAAAATGTATTACCGATGTGATACGAAGGGTGGAAGGTGGAAAGGTGACTCTGATATCAGCACCAGGTTTGTAATCGTCAGAGCGGAATGCTCGGAGAAATTCTGATAGATAGTGACATCATAGCCAGAGGATCGAAATTCCCTCTGCCCCGTGTAACCAGGGAATATTGCTGACACTTACAAAATAGATAAGACCCGCTTCGACTGCTACTACCACCGTTGTGTCTCTTTGGTAAAACGTTCGATGCAGCGATTGCCAAATGGACGGAAGAAAACTTGGCTTCCTTTTTATTTATTGACTCTCGCAAAGTTTTGTCTACGTAGAGTTATAAATTCATACGATACCCATCGGTATAACGTCTTTCGAATAATTTCTAACGTATATAAACGAGAAAACGTTCTGACGTCTTTGGAAAGACATCATTTTTGACATACGGCTCAGTTACCCCCCACTCGCTCTTTGTTAAAACATATTCACTGATTTATCCAATAGTTAATCACGAATAGACCTTCGAAACGGTCTGCCGATAATCTTTCATTATAATCTAAAGGCCGCACGAGGAACTCGATAAACCGATAACTCGTTATTTATCCACACACTTATTTATCTGTTTATAAATATTCATAATTCACTGCCATATGACAATAATAATGGCGAAGCTCCAATGAACTCTCATCAGCACGTATGGAAACAGTCCCTTGGGGTAAACGACTGCCTCCGTGTTCTCATTTCTAAGTACTGTCTCTTAATAGACTACGTATCCACTTCAGCCATTATTCGACCACTGTCTCTAGAGTCTTGTGAGAATCGGGCATTTTTCTCATCTCTCTCTCTCTTTTTGCTCTCTTGCTCGCTCTCCCTTCAGTTATGCAACTGTAGTCGTAAGTCGAGATCCGTGAACGTGTGCCAAGCGTGGAGCAACTCGCGTACTCTTTCACTCCACTCTCCCTTTCGAAATATGTATTATTCTACAATGGCTATTATACCAGATCATCCTTACGACGTGGGTAAGAGAGGCAGGTAATGTTCGAAATGACATTGCAAACGCGAAACGTTAATAACTTCTCAATGCGATTGTAAATACTTGTTAACAATCTACAAGCGTCAATTCTACTATTGCAATTTCTATGCTCACATGTTATGCATGACGTTTGAATTATATGTAACATGTGTCTCAGGACTTACCGCATACATTGAGCCAGCCCTCTACGCGACATGGATATTCCAGCTTCATGACGGATGACTTGTGTTAATCACCAAATCCAATGAGAATTGCCACAAATGCACTTTTTGTATAGATAAACGTCGCGGAGAACTCGCGACAACTCACTGCAGAACATATATTCGAGAATCACATTTTTTTCCTTAATAGGTATGTTAATTTACAGAAAAGGTTTGCCAATCTTTTGTACATATATGAGGTTACTTAAAACGCGTGGTCAATGCCGGGCATATAGTATAAATAGTAACTATCAATTCCTTATGGCAAAATATCGAGTCACCGGACGACGTGAACCTACCGCACCGAGTTATAGATTCAAACTGAGTGAAACTGCTGATGAGAAATCCCACCAGCCTACTAGACAGCAGCACAGCAACCAACTGAATCGAAAAGCTGATGAGTAGAAAACGTAGAGCGCTATGCCGACCTAACGGTAACTCGTAATATTAAAAGATTGCCGGTATGAGGTATGTTGGTAAAGTATTAATATCGATCGGAGGTAGGATCTGTGAGAAAGATCTCTTACGATTCAGATTAATCTTGAATTGTATACTAACTGTATGCCGAATTGTTACTGTTACTTGGATATTGTGATGTTTATTCCGGATATTTAATTTAATCCTAAAACAGCACTTAATCGTAGCGTTGATCGTAGGTCTGTAACCTATAGTCGGTAATATAATTTTCTCGATATATAATAGAAAATAATAGGAGATACAGTTGCAGCATGTAACGTGAATAATTCTGTATTGAACCTCGTATTATTTTAACTCTTTTTATAAGATCTGCGAAGTTTTTTAGTCGCCTTAGAAGATAATGGAGAAATTTTGTAATGTCAGTAATTTGCTAGAAGGTGATTTATTAGACGAATTTTACTCAATATCCTAGTATGAATAGTTATTAGTTAACCGCTGAGTCCAACAGGTGTATTAATTATAAAGTGCAAAATCCTCTGATTACCTTGTACGATTATCTTCACAATCCAGATAATTAGTTATTTATCTGTTTTTTATCTGTGAAAATATACGTAGCCATCTATCGGACAGTGGTGGAATCAGTACTGTCAAAATGGCGCTCAAGGAACAAGTCGGACAAAGTGAGTATTCAAGAAAAGCTTGAAATTCCGACGCTTCTCGGATAAATACACGATAGTCTCTATGATTGTATTAAAAACGAGATGTTCTGCTAACGTTTTAATGAGAAGCATAGTGATTTCAGTGCGGTCAGATATCGGAAAAGGTCTGACAAGTCGGTGGGCGTAGATCCGTGATGATTTCATCGGTGTGAAAGCGGCTGTTAGACAGAAACGTCAAATCGGAAAAGAAAACGTGTTTATCAGTAAATTAGTGCATTGTACGCAACTACTAATTCCTGGATAATTAACATGATTTTTAAGTCCTTCGTATATTCGCGAAATCGAATGTCCTTCGTTAAATTAAAAAAAATTTCACGATTTCTCGAGCATCAGTGTCGCTGTTTCTTAATGTTCTAATGAAATATCAAAAGTTAAGTAGATGAATTGCTGTAATCGTAATGTCGATTTATCAAATCCATAAACATATAGAATCGTTCCACGTGCTAAAACGAAACCTGTATACAAAAGCTTTGATACATTAAAACATATATGAATCCGAAGTAAATTAAAAACAAGCATCACTTATTTTAATTAAATTTCAATTATTCATTTGTCCAATTCACTTCGTATACCTAGCAGAATAATTGACTTTACTTTTAAGCGAAACCGAACATTTTCCTTGTTTAATTCGTATCTAGGACAACATGAAGCATTTGCGTTTTAGATTCTCAAGTGCATTTGCGTAATCTCATAGCTTTTCGCAAAATATAAGAAGTAAAAGAGCAAGGGTGAAAGATTTACGTCTAAGGGTGACTCGGCTATTCATTAAAGGGCGCTTCTGCGCATTGCGATCCAGGGTGACTGGGGGTAGTCCGGGGATGTCATCGGCGTTTTTGGAATATACTGAAACACACAAACCGCTCTGGTTGGCTGGTTGGCTTACGAACACAGTTGACGTCAGTAGGTTACCTCGCAAAAACGATCAATAAATGGAGACGATAAAGTCAATTACGTACACAGTACTAAACGTATTGACATAAATCAAATTAAAATACATCCTAGATCCCAGATCCCCGTAACGATCTCAATAAATTATTCCAAAAAATAATGCTAGTCAAGTGTACTGACAGCAAATCCTGAAACCATGTCGTACAATAATTTTTCAGAGATTATGAATGAAGTCATCAAGCAGAAAAAGAAGACAGCAGGCGGGGTCGAATGGCGAATCCTCGTAGTGGATCAGCTCGCCATGAGGATGGTTTCAGCCTGTTGTAAGATGCACGACATCAGTGCCCAGGGTATCACTCTAGTCGAGGACATCAATAAAAAGCGTGAGCCTCTTCCAACAATGGAGGCCATTTATCTGATTACCCCCTGCAATCCCTCGGTGCAGAAGCTCATTGAAGATTTCAATAATCCTACAAAGATGGTCTACAAGGCTGCACATGTTTACTTCACTGAAGGTATTATCAGATAGCATCGTTCCTCGAAATGTACTGGAAGAAAACTGTACTGAATTTCTGACGATATCGACTACAGCGAGGAAGAACTATTTTCTTCATCCTCTTTTTTTTACTTTTGTCTTCTTCCTTTCCTCTTCTCCCCATTCCCTTTCCTTTCAAATTAGTTTTCAGTTTATTTCTTTACAGCATGTCCTGACGAGTTATTCAAAGAGTTGTGTCACGCACTGGTATCTAAACACATTAAGACACTAAAAGAGATCAACATTGCGTTCATTCCGTACGAGGAACAGGTAAAGCACAAACATTTTCCATACGATCGTGTGTGATAAATGTGTAAATTAATAGTGACGGTTAGGCGTGGTTTTTTCTCCACTTTCTTGCTCTCCTCTTCTTCCCTTTTCTCATTTTCGTAAAGAGTGCAATCGGTGATATCACTGTCATACTAGGTTCACACAAACTGTTGTGAAACTCCTACTTAGCTTTTGCCTTGTTCTTTGGACTCCCATATATATTTTGTGAAGAACCTGTCAAAGTCTCGTCTTCCACTTGGTACGAGGTTATTGATCAATCATCAACAATTAATAATGATTAACGATGCTATTACATTAATGCTTACACTCGGCCAGTGTGCCCGGAGGAGCTGTTCAATGAACTCTGCAAGTCCCCCGCCGCTAAAAAGATCAAAACCCTCAAAGAGATCAACATTGCATTTCTGCCGTATGAATCGCAGGTGAAAGCACATCTATTGTCGCTTGCTAATCGTTACTTCGGCTTGACACTTTGTGCGTATCTTAATTTTCGTTGTAACGAGCCAATCTTATGAACATTCTATTTGTTAAGTATTTGGGTATGCTTGGCTCACTGAATTAGCTTGACGCATGCACAATTAATTCATTTGAAACAATGGCAATTGTGTAATTAGATGCTTAGACTCTCACTCTTTTTATTCTGTGCCATAATTATTTAATAATTTAATATGATTCAGGTCTTTTCCTTGGATTCTCGTGCGACATTTGCTTGCTTCTACAATCCTAATTTCGCCGATCTGAGGAACGCTGATATGGAACGAATTGCTGAGCAAATAGCCACCCTCTGCGCCACTCTTGGGGAGTATCCGTCTGTTAGATATCGCAGGTAACTATCAAACAAAAGTTCAGTCAAAACAATAAGTTCGGATCATCAAGAGTATCATTTTCGTTTACAGTGACTTCGAACGCAACGTCGAATTGGCTCAGATGGTTCAACAGAAGCTAGACGCGTACAAGGCAGATGAACCTACAATGGGTGAGGGCCCGGAAAAGGCTCGTTCTCAACTTCTTATTCTTGATCGCGGTTTCGATTGCGTCTCGCCTCTGCTCCACGAGCTGACACTTCAAGCTATGGCCTACGATCTCTTGGAGATTGAGAATGACGTCTACAGGTAATACAAGATGATACTGATGATTGACTCAGTTGGTATCAAAATATTTTACTCTATTAAAAGATATGAGGCGTCCGCTGGACAAGCTGAGAAGGAAGTACTGTTGGATGAGAATGATGAGTTGTGGGTAGAGCTGAGGCATCAGCACATTGCTGTCGTTTCCCAGTGAGTACAATTATTGGAATGCTTGTACAGTATACGATAAAGCCCGAGAGAATGTCACAGTTTGTCAGGTGTGCATCCACTTCCACTTTCGCAGGAACGTCACAAAGAATCTGAAAAAGTTCACGGAATCAAAGAGAATGCCACAGGGTGACAAGCAGAGCATGAGGGACCTCTCGCAGATGATTAAAAAGATGCCTCAGTATCAGAAGGAGCTGAGCAAGTATGCAACTCATCTGCATCTTGCTGAGGATTGCATGAAGCGTTACCAAGGCAACGTGGATAAGCTCTGTAAGGTTGAACAGGATCTGGCAATGGGAACAGATGCCGAGGGTGATCGAATAAAAGATCAGATGCGTAATATCACTCCGATTCTTCTTGATCAGACAGTGAATAACCTTGATAAGCTACGTATTATTGCTCTCTACGTAATAAGCAAGAATGGAATTCCCGAGGACAATTTGAACAGATTGGTCCAACATGCTCAAGTCTCACCTGAAGATAAACAGACGATCATCAACATGGCAAAACTTGGTATCAACGTCGTTGTAGATGTAAGCTTTCTAAAGATGCTATTTTCTACGTTAGTCAATATTTTATCAGTCGATCAATCTCACTAATTCGAGATTCTGTAATCAGGGCCCACGCAAGAAACAGTATACGGTAACACGCAAGGAACGTATCACTGAACAGACTTATCAGATGAGTCGTTGGACACCAATTGTCAAGGATATTATGGAGGACGCCATCGAGGATAAACTCGACTCTAAGCACTTTCCTTTCTTGGCAGGACGAGCTACTAACTCCGTGTATCACGCTCCAACAAGGTAGGAAGCTCGTCGGTATTAGAAATCGTACTAATGACTCTTGTTATCTGTTCCTCAATGTTAAATGTGGAATATCAATTATTTTCTAGTGCTCGCTATGGCCACTGGCATAAGGATAAAGGTCAGCAAACGATTAAAAATGTACCACGGTTGATCGTATTCATCGTAGGCGGCGTCTGCTTCTCGGAGATACGTTGTGCCTATGAAGTGACAAATGCTCTCAAGAATTGGGAAGTTATAATCGGTAATTCTTTCATCTTTAATCTGACAATCTTAGCACGCCTTGAAGCAACAAACATTGAGATATAGATCTATGTAACAATGAATCAATCGCAGATTTATGAGACTCAATTTTCTCTCTTTGCAGGTTCCTCTCATATAATAACGCCAAAGTCTTTCATTTCGGATCTTTCGAAGCTTCACGCCTAATTTCAACAAACGACAGAGTATTAACATTCCCCTATATTAAATGTAACGTGCTAATTTACATTTAATTCGCAACTAGCCCCACCATCCCCATCGGTATTACCAGCCATGAAGTTCCGTCAGCAATACCGGCAATTGAATTAAAATTAAATGAAAAACATTGCAAGTCAATTTGTTATACAAAATCGTTACGCAATTGTGTTAAGAGATCGCGAACAAATTCGGAATTTAAGTATCAAGAAAAGGAAGTGTCATCTCGAATCAAGTGCCTGCGCGAAGATGATGGGATCTATGACAGGACTGGTTTTACTGATGTGAATCATTAAGATTGAAAGAACGTGTTGCCATTATGCATAGCTCCGTGACTAATACTGTAGCTACAGATATTCCTGAATCGATTGGGAAGCTTAGTCACTTGTTCGGAATTAAAACTGATGAAAATTCATATACTTAAGTCCTTGTCGTCTAACTCGCACTTCGAAATGTCTCAATATGCGATTTTCTCCATTTATATAAGTATTTTTGTTTTCCTTTTGATAGATGCCATTGGCGTATTCAATGATCTAATGTGGCTATGGTGTACTTCAATGATCTAACAGATGTCTATAGCATGGTGCGAATGCTTCTCAAGAGGAAGCAGTCTGACGAGTTTAAAGTTATGTAACGTGTAAATGTACGTGTATATTTGAGACCGTGCGTATATGCACGCGTCATTGATGAATGAAAGATTGAAAAAGTGATGTTGGCAACGTGTCAATTGAAATATTAACTCTGCTAAAATTCGTAACGATACGTAACCGTAGAAGACATAGATTGAAATGTTGGTATATAGGGGATGATCACTTTTGGTCAGTGGAGGTTTGTCTGTTACTTGATTGATCGTATATTTAAAACATATATACATGTACATTAAACAATATGTTATGTTAGCGAGAGCTGATTATCTTGAAATTGAAAATATTTATAAAAATATATGTATGTATGTAGAAAAACGGTAAACAAGGTGTTCTGCTTGCAAAGGCCTAGATGCCACTATTACTCAAATTATTGTTATTCATTACAAGCAAGATCTATGTTGGTAAACTACGGTGAATAAAAGGGGTCTCGCATAACGTCTGTCAACAGTCAAGGATGATCTCGAGTGTGTTGATCAAAATGAAATTCGTACAGATATATTCTGTCGTCTTTGATCTTATTATTCAGTTTCTAAGCAGTGAATCATTGTATAATACAATTTTACCAACCTTATGAAATGGTATATAGTAAAGTGCCCTATATAATAGTATACCAAACAAAGTGTGTTCTATTGATAAATCATGATAAAGATCTATTAAGTTAGAAACTCACACTCGTCATTTCTTTTATCGAAATTTACCCACCACTCGAAGCTGTCAAGAATGTCAATTTTAACTCACAAAGGAAAATCTGATTGGTGTCGTCATTTCACTTGGCCTCTACTCTTCTTATCTTTAGGCTCCCCGTTAATATCCAGGGATTAATTTCACTTGATCAACGATGTACGGATGTGACAATGCAGGAATGCAGTAACATTAACTATGGTAAGACTGAAAACGCGTGACTCTAATAACAAGGATTCGTATTTCATGAATAACGAGTTGAATCTGCCGATGAAGATGACTACACGTCATGTACATTGAAGGGGCATTGTCGATTCAAAATAAGCTCATTTCACGATCGCTAATAATACATTTACTGTTTGTCTATACCATCTTCATCGATTTCAGTTTCTGAAATAAACGGTTTACGCTTACAACTTACGCACATAGTTCTTTGCGTCTAACGCAATTTTTTTCTATCTCGCTGTTACACGGTGCAGAGTTTAAACAGGGTTGACCAATCACGTGCAAGAATCTAACGTATTCGACCAATGAGGTTGATCGACCGTGTTTAAATTCTGTACGTTGCAGACGTAGTCATAGGTTGTGTTTCCACCGGAATCGAGTTTAGTGAAGAAATTTTTCTACTGTATGTATGTTATATATATATATATATATGATTAAACTACAAATATACATTTAATGTATTTCAATGCTCGTTCGACTCTGGTGGAAAACAGCAATAAATTGTCGCTGAATGCATCTGCATTGGGTAATTCACATTGGTATTGCAGTAGCGCGAAGATTACTGGAAAATTGTTAGGAAGAGACGACAACGAAGGAAATATATACTTTCAATTAGTGTTTAATTAGACCATTAGGGCAATAAGCATACTCATCGAGATTATAGCTATATGTGTTATACGCTAATAGTATTACTCTTAATTGTTATAGTTATTAGTGTACACAATGATCTCAATATATTCTCTTTGAATCGTAACGTAAGAAAACAGCAATGCGTACCTAATGCTGATACATATATATATATATATATATATATACCCTCAAAACCTACACAGGCTTTACACATCATCAAGATTATCCCTTTGACAATGAAATTTTCATAAAATTACAAGAAATGACAAAGACAAAATGTGGAACACGACTTAGCAGCCAAAAAAGGGTAATAGTCCAGTTGACAGTGACACACGATAATTTATCATTGACAGATGCTCGAACGATACCTCGAATGTCAGCAGTTCCGGCAGCGCATTTTTCATATTGTTAAGTAAAAGGAAGAGAAAAAAGAAAGCGATGTGTCAAATAATTGTTATATATATATATATATATATATATATATATATATATATATATATACCCTCAAAACCTACACAGGCTTTACACATCATCAAGATTATCCCTTTGACAATGAAATTTTCATAAAATTACAAGAAATGACAAAGACAAAATGTGGAACACGACTTAGCAGCCAAAAAAGGGTAATAGTCCAGTTGACAGTGACACACGATAATTTATCATTGACAGATGCTCGAACGATACCTCGAATGTCAGCAGTTCCGGCAGCGCATTTTTCATATTGTTAAGTAAAAGGAAGAGAAAAAAGAAAGCGATGTGTCAAATAATTGTTAATAATCATATATTCAAAAGTCAAGCCACTCTTATCTTCCTTCGGACATAAATAATATAACAAGAATAAGCAAAGTTACACCGTTATGATGGTGTCGAGGCCAGTTAGAAAGATAATAGAGACAGCAAAGATAAATAATAGACAAAATAATATAACAACGAACGATACCGGAAGTGGAGTACTCACAGAGGTAGATTGTGGATAAATAATACAATAAGTAATTGTAGGATATAGTAAAAGTATGAAGTAAGTCAAGCCATCTCCCTTTTACTTAACAACATCAAGCATCTCTTTATTTTAGCCATTTATTTGTATTATTATTTATGTACAACCAGTTTAATCCTCTATCAATTAGTAAGTCTGCTAAAATTCGTGTGCCATTGGAGATGATGTGCGCCCGTGGGAACTTATATAAAAATTACTTTTGATACGGCAGAGTGATTTTGGTGGTACTTATGAAATACATCTTTATAGTCTAACTTACGTTGAGATCTAGTAGGTTACACAATCTGTCTATTGGCCTCCTTAGTCCTTACAAACCTTATCACATAGAATTGTATTAATATTTTATACATACATTTTTTTTTCTTTAATTGCTGCCAATGATTCTCCTTCGTATTTACAATTCTAAATCACGTATTATACAATAATAATACCTAATAACGCATATGCACACATGATGTGTCCTGTTACATGCACACGTTCTCTCTCTCTCTCTCTCTCTCTCTCTCTCTCTCTCTCTCTCTCTCTCTCTCTCTCTCTTTCTCTCTTTTGAACACACGCTATTTAAGGTTCCTGCCTAAAGAGTGCGTCGAGCTCGGGGAGCATCGCAATCGCAAAACGCATAATCCATAACGCATAACGCAGCTTTTTGCGAAACTTTAGGGATATCGTCCTAGAAAGGGCTTTCTCTCTCTCTCATTAAATAATTGTCTTGAAATTCGTCCATGTGACCAGTGCATGTGAGAGTGCTACGCGAAGAGGTCATCGCGTGATTATTAATTACGGAGCGCACTCCTTAGAAAATTGTCATCGAACATAACGTCTAATATACGCCTCCTACAATCATTTAAACGATTATCCATAGCCTTCCTCGCCGAAATAACTTTTACGAGGGTACATCACACCATATTTGTCTTAACGAATAGATTTTTAAGGTCTTCGTCTTTACAACCACCCTGCTTCTTTTTAAGAGACCAGCATGTACGCAAAACACGCACGCACGCAAACACACGCGCGCAGAAATAACACTCACGTACACAGAAGTTATTAATTCTAGATTACGCAACATAACTTATCGATTTCGTATCTCTAGATGTGATCGTTAGTGCTTTTTTATTTCTTTTCTCTCATTCGCAATCAACATGATCTTTAGGGAAAGAAGGAAATTTTAACGCTACGAAATTATGTTATACTAATGAATGAAAAGGGAAGTTTAAAAGTGTCTCTCTATGTGGTACTCGTCGTCTATCTTTCTGTCTCTTTTAAATAAATAATTCAAGTAATCGAATACGAATGGTTGCTGGATTCTTTGGCTAAATGGCTGGCTAGATACGTGTTTTCGTAAATACTTGTAACGGTAGGAAAACGTGCCATGAGAGTCACAACTTTCATGAACTGTCTTACCTGCTTAAAAATTAAGGGCATTGCTTTGAAAGACAAGCTGATAGCCTAACAGTGAATAATGGTGATCGAGTGCCTTAACGATGGAGGGAAAAATGATAAAATGAAGTAGATACGAAAGAGAAGACGTATCGAAAGGAATTAAAAAATCAGATCCTTTCTTTTTACGCTATAGGATTCCCGCGACTGTTACCACTTTTGTAAACTAGAAGAAAATTAATGTTAGTAATTTTTTTTCTATTTTTTTTCTTTTACTTATACCCTTCTTAATGTAACGTTACGAATTTTTGTATTTTATTTCATTTATTTATTTTTTTTTTTTTCTAACATATTAAAACCACTGAACCGCTACTGCTAGGCTTTCTCTTGTAACAATCTATTATGGACATCACTGTTTGTCATCATCATCATCATCATCATCATACTGTGTTTAATAGTATGTACTATAGCTGATGTATATTACTGTACAGATTTACTGAATAACGCGCATGGTTACATTGCAAACAATCTTGGTTGCTTGTCGACATGAAAATATGTATAAGAAAAAAAAAGAAGGGACAGAGCGAAGGATTGAAATTAGAAAGGAATAATGTAAGGGTTGGCTCTGCGAATAAGTTTGTGAACTAGAACTTAAAGAAACACACTACAGGTTCGAGAAGCTCTTAAAAAAATAAAATTGTATTCAATTAAATAATTTAATAATATATAATTCACATAATAACTTTCACTATTGAATATATACTATATCGCTAAAGCCACTAATATTATATTTTCTATAATTTCAAGTACTAGTATTAAAATTAATTTCATCGGTGTGATAGCTCAGATTAATAGTAGTACGCAACCAATCCAAAAACTTTTAAATTAGTTATCAATATCGTTTTTGTACTTCTTTTTTTGCCAATTAAAATTGTTATCAACAATCAAAGGAGCTCTTAGTCGAAGGACTACCTGGAACGCATGACTCTCATCCTTCACATCTTTAATGTGCAAACTTTTGACTACTATTACTCACCAACTTCTCAATTATCATATTCACCAAGACTTCTAGGATTATCAGGGATTCACCACGATCACCATCATCATCTTCATCTTCATCACCAATACCATAACCATCAGTATCCAGCATTTAACCATTACCACTACTACACTTATCCTTGTTGTCTCTACTAAGATGCATCTGGATTTAAATGTATTTTATTTCATCTTACTCGTAAGCCTTCTTCGAAGAATTTTTTCCAGGACTCAAATTCTATCGCGTACCATATCTTCTTTACAATGATTGTAGTGATTCGCTGTATCCACTCTCTTCCCACAATCTCTACAGCCTTCACCACCAATGTTCCAGAAAATCACTTTTCTCGTATCAATTCTCACGTTATCTTCGAGTACACGGTTTTCGTCATTCCGACGACTAAACCAGTGTTGACACTCACTGCGTCCACCGTGCGATTCTATTTAATATATCCCCTTATTCATTCTACCAAGTCCGCCATTCGCCGAATCAATAAATTTCATCAGTCATCCTCCATTATTACTCATGACTCCTGACAACTTTCCATTATAACCTCTCCAGTATCAACAGACTATATGTGAAATTGATTACGATTCGATAGAATAGGCTGATACGCTATCGCGCGGGCCTTTTCATCTCTAATCCCTCTCAGCATCACGGTTCATCTTAACTAACTTTCTCCTTTCTTTATTCTCTAATCGCGACGCCTGTACACAAGGAATAAGGTATTTGCTCCGATACAACGCGGATGCTTGATTGGATAAGAGATCGAAACTACTTGACGCTATCACCTTAGCATTATTCTCATAATAATTGACGACATTGTTCTATGGTGAATGAATAAATGAGTGTTTCACCCCTTCACCTTCATCTGTGACATTTTATATTTACTCCATTTTTTCTCCTTCTCTCCCTTTTTTTTTTTTATTCCCGCCAGTCATTCGCAGCATGACGTACATATGTCTCGAGTGACGGGAGTTCTCGTCTAGGCGAATAATCGCACTAGATAAATTTTCACGTTATTGACTTAACAAGCCTACCTATCCCACGCGATTACAAATACACGGTTTTACTCATAATCGAGGGACAAAAAAAACATTTGTGATCTGTAATTAAATTATTAGTACAATGGCTAATAATTATAGGTATATTATTAGTAGAAGTTGAATCTGCGCAATCCTAGCAACGATCAATGACTGAATGTGGAAAAATATAAAACTTAACTAAATGTACACAACTTTACGCTCCCCGCACTCTCTCACGCAGCACACGCTTTCGTCTTTGCACGCAAATCTCATGTAACCTTTGCAATAATCTTCTTTTCTCCAAATTTACATAAAGTACAAACTTATGAAAACCGGAAAATGTAACGCAATAGTCGGTAGCATTATCGAAGTATCTCGTAAGTATTTATCTAATTTACATGGTCACACTTGGGTGTCCGTCGATTACACAGTGACCCTCCTCTTTCACCTTCTTTCAACCCCTCAACAAAGGTCTTGAATTATTCCTTTTGGAATGCCCCCGCCCTCCCCTTATCAAGCCGTTTTTATTTTTTCAACCATCCCCAAACAAACTCACGCTAACCCCACTGCAACAATTGTTCATTCATACTTGATCTAATACACAAGCGTTTCTCTTCATCCACGCCTTCTCCCTCCTTTTCTTTCTTTCACTTATCACCAAGTGTATACATACATATATATATATATATGTGTGTATATATATGTATTTATGTATATAGAAGTATGTATATGTATATATTAACACGATCTCTGGCATCGTCCAGCGTCATTATTCTTCCAAGTCCTGCCCGGTTTCAGTGGGAATATTATGAGCAGCAAATTGTAATATTACAAAGATTCCTCGAACGCAGCCATCAAATCGCTCTGCATGTTCATGTCAATCCGGCTAGCCATCTGAAAATACAAATACACCGATTCTTGGCGATACTCCGTCTATTCCTTCTCCAATTTTTCATCATCCTCTTCGAGTTCTAGCAGCTTCCACAATAACACCATTGGTATTATGATCGTCACCGTCACGGTGAACTCTATACGTTATCTCATGACCGTTAAAAGCAGTAACTACTCAGTATCGAAATTCCTAAATCTTTGCAATCTTCGTACCTATATTCTATTCCAAGAGCATTTATCGGCAGGTGGTGCTTTTTCAATTCACAAATTTATAATGACTTCGTAAGAATGTACTTACCACTTCGCGTCGCCTACGTTCCTGCTCGCGCAGTCGTTGTCGTTCTCTCTCGGCTGCCGCCTTGTCCTGGCTCGACGATTGACTGGGGCTGCTACTGTCCGTATCCGTGGTAGCTTTCGCTTCCTCGGATCTGGCACTGACAACCATTACTGCACTCTGTTGATCCGCTACGGTTTTCCTCACTTTCTCGAGAGCATCCTCCTCTTCGCGTTCACGCCGCCTCTCATTTTCTTGACGTAGCCTCTCGCGTTCCGCCTGCTCTTTTTGTTGCCGTCGAATCTCCTGTTGTTCCATCAAGGCTCTTTGCTGTAAATTTATATAAAAATATTCGATATGATTTACGGTCTACTTTTTACGTTCGGTATCTTTATTTTACATGTAGATTAAAATTCCTTTATTCAGATTAATTAAATATATACTAACCCTATCCTGCTTTTCTTTAGCCTGTTTCTTGAACGCTTGGAACGAATCTCGTGCTGCACTCTTCATGCTACTTCCGGCAGCTGATTGGGGACTCGACGCTTGGGCTAACGATGACCACGACGATGCATTCTTTACATTCTGCTCGACGGTCTGCTTGATGATACATAGTGCGAATGAATAATTTTATTATCATAGTTTGAGATACTTGGTCAAATGGCATTGTGGAATGTATAAAAACTTACCTTGTTCTTGAAAGCCGAGGCAAAATTCGCTGCAGGATTCTTCGAGTCAGGCGGTGTCAATTTCTCCTCGGCCATGAGCTGTGAACTCGAATGATTGCCCATCGATGACATTCCTAGAGCACTCATTTCTGCAAAAAGAGCTCCCGCTAGAGCACCACCATCGCATAATCGATTAGTAAAAAGCAGTTAGTAAGTACCCTTTTGCACAGACACCGAGGACAATAGCTACCATACAAGGGTTATATTTTAAAGGGAAACCCATTGAAATCCAAATAAAAATAGTGATTGAGTAATCATTGGAACAGAAGCAAAAAGCAGGTGACATCGGGTGTCAGTAGCGATTCAATGAAAAGAAGCGTCAGTAAAAAGAGCATAATAAGGTATGAATTGTAGCGTTAAATTTGCATGAATTTATGTAATAAGTTAAGACCTACCGTCCATGGATTTCTGAGGAATTTGTGGCTGAGACATTGGCAATGGCTTCTCCTCCTTCTTAATGGGCAGCTGAGGAAGTTGCATGGGTATGGTAACCATGTTTAGAGGATCGAAAATCGAGCCCATTCCCATCCCACTCATATTGAGTCCCATGTTTCCTCCCGGGACGCCATTGTTGTTCAACATATTTGGAGGAGAGTTTTCCCGCTTTACGTTTGAGAATCCATTGGAATGCTGCTGAGACATGATGTTATGCGTATTCTGAATATTGCTAAGTGGTGACGTCGTGTTGATCATGTTTTCAAGAGAATTGTGCATGGACGTGTGCATATGTGTGGTCAAGCTTTGCTGCAGATTCATATTTAGATTGGCCATATTGATATTGCTCAAATTCAGGTTCGAGGTCATCCCGCTAGTCATCATGTTCACAGGATTCTTCAACTCAGAATGCAAGTTCAAATTCGAGTTGTTCGCTGTTGTATGGGGTGGCTGAATCATTGGGATATGTGGCTCCTTCTTAATATTCGCGAGGGTTTGCTCAAGCGACGTCTGCGTGGTGGGCAGGCTCGATCCTAAGAACGGAAAGAAACAATAAAAAGAAAGTCCTTCAATAGTAAATATTCTATAAGAATCAATTTCTACGTGACTCGAGCAGATTACCAAAAGAGACTAAAACAAGGAAAATACATAGCTATATGATGATATACCTAGCGTACTGTAAGGCTGCAAAAGGTCTGCCGTCTGCTGATTAAGTGGAGTTGTATCCGTTGGAGCGGAAGGAGCGTTTGCATTTGGAAATGAATTAACTGAAGTTGGTGGTTGCGTTCCTTGATGCACCACGGGCGAGGTCACCATAGTACTTGTATTCGTTGGCGTGACACTGGGAGGTGGAGTCGGTACAGAGACCGAAGGAGTAGCTGGGTTGGAAGTGATTTGCTGTTGAGAAGTTTGTTGGGATGGCTGTTGCTGTTGATGTTGCTGCTGTGGCTGCTGAGGTTGCTGCGGTTGTTGCGGAGATGGATTTTGAGACTGTAGAGTATGCTGAGACTGTAGAACATTAGCCGGAGGCTGCTGAGACATGCTAATCGCAGCGGCAGCAGGCTGATGTGAGGTCGGAAGGGGAAGCGACGAAGATGGTGGTGGTGTAGGCTTTTTTATAGGGACAGCTGTGGCCATTGCCGTGGGACGTGGTGGCTGGGCCGGCATCGAGGTGTGACTTGCCACCGGTGGTATGGCTAACCCTTGCTGGTTACTCGTGACTGCCGTCGCCCCAACCGACTGGGTTGCACCATTGCCTCCTGATTGAAGAACTGACATAGATAAGTCATCGTGTACATGAAATTATTATTTCTCTTACGTTCTATAAATACTCCTACGAGTCTCCAAGTGAACCGTGCATCCTTACCTTGATCGCCAGGTATATTGTTAGGTTGCGTGACAATCGGCGGCTTCGATCCAGCCCCAGAGGAATTAACTCCCGTAGCCGTTGTCGTCGCCGCCGCCGCTACCGCCGCTGCTGCTGCCGCGACCGCTGCCGCCGTCGAGGATCCAATAGAAGACGTAACCGACGAGGGCGTCGAAGCCGACGCGGACGCCAACGTCGACAAGGATCCCGTGACTACCTGAGTCGTCTGTTTGTTCATCAAGAGTGAAACAACAGCACCGGCGTGATTAAGTGCCGAGCCCTGGAAAATTGAGTAGGTCAGAGTCACAGAGCAAAGATACAGATCGGTGTCTAGAATCGGGAAAAGGAATAGAGTGCGATCGGAGAAAGGGTTATCGAAGTTCGTGTTCGAGCTAGAGAAGGTCAAGGACATAATCGGAGTCTGTCTTACCGAGGTAGAGATGTTGGCGGTCGCGGGGACGGTGGCGGCGGTGATGATCGAATTACCTGCAGGTCCGCCTCCACCGCCTCCGCCGCTAGGCGCCGTCTTCTTCGCTTTCTTTCTTGGCGGCCGATTCGAAGTGTTCCCTGTAATTCAATGTAACAAGCAACTGGCGGTGAGTCGACGAACGGACTTAAAGACTTTCGTTCAGACCATGTGGACTAGAGTGGAGCTAGTGAAATGCCGACGGTGCGGAGGATACCAAAATACTAGAGGATACCAGCCATGACTTTCCGTAGTAAACAACTGAGTGAAACCACCCGGGCGTTTCGCATCTTCGGTAACGCAAATTAAATAAGACCAAAAGCATATATTTTCTAATAGATTTTATTCATATACTTATATTATAATTGTATCACTGTGTACAACAATGTTAATTTAAATATCTCAATTGTATGCTTCCTTTTTTTTTTTTTTGTGGACTTTCATCTTAAGGTTTTTCTCTTTTTTTATATTAAAAATTCTTAATGCGTAGAACAATTTTTTTTTTCTTCTTTTATTCTACATAATGTCTCCGAGTCAATCGCACTTCTTTCATTCGTAAATAAATTGTGAGCACGTGTATATCCGTGTTTATATGTATATATACCTTGTGCACGCTCTAGCCCATGCAACTAGACCCACCCTGCCGATACCCTACGTTATCGGCGCGACGCTTTTCCCTCTTTCTTTTCAGATATACCAATAATACGTGCATACGTGACTCTACCTATGCACAGGTACAAAGGTATGCGCGAGAGCGTGCATATATTCTCCTCCTCCCTCCTTTCATCCGTAACACCTCATCCCACTTCTCGTCCTTATTCGCACCCCTTACCCCTCTCTCCACGGCCGATTTTCCTAACACCGCATTCATTCGCGTCTCTCTTTTCCTCTCTCACTCGTTCGTTCGTATCGTCTTCGCCTACTCCGCGCCAAACATTCAACTCTCGCTCTCACGCTTTCTCTCTCTCTCTCTCTCTCTCTCTCTCTCTCTCTCTCTCTCTGCTCGAATCATTGAATAGTACAAACGACGGTAGTGGTAGCAGTAATAGATGTTGTTCTTGTGTTTTTTTTAGCAATAGTAATAATAGCAGTAGCAGTAGTAATAGTAGTAGTGGTAATAATAATAGCAATGAAAATGACCATAATAATAATTGCGACGACAATGGTGTCGATAGCGACAATGGCGATGATAATAATAACGATGACGATGACGATGACGATGACAATGACGATGATCATAAATCGCTGACTACAAAAAAAAAAAAAAAAAAAAAAAAAAA